GAGAGAGAGAGAGAGAGAGAGAGAGAGAGAGAGAGAGAGAGAGAGAGAAGGAAAGCAATATAATGATTAGGAGGATGAAACTAGGTAAAGGGGAGGAGAGAGAGGAGCTGAAGAGGTTACTGAGAGAGGTATTAGAAGTAGAAGTGGAAGTCAATTGGGTGAGAAAATTTGGGGGGGAAGGATAGAGAGGGAGGGGAGTCAGTAGTAGTCGGTTTGAGGGACGAGGGAGAAACGAAGAAGGTTTTCAAGAAGAGAAAACACTTGAAAGGGAGGAAGGAGAGACTGGAGAACCACTTGACTTTTAAGGAAAGAAAAATACAATGGGAGCTAGAAAAGATAGCGGATATTGAAACTGCTTGGGGTGCAGAGGTGGGAGTAGGGAGGGGACGAATATGGTTAGATGGGAAATTATGGAACTGGGATGAAAGAAGGATGAAATTGAGAAACGAAAAGGGGGAAGAATGGAACGAAGAGAGGAGAAAGAAAGAAATGATAGAGAAGATAGAGGAGCGAAAGAGGAAGAAGATTAATGAGGAAAGGCAGCCAGAGATCGAGGTGGATCAGGCGCAAAGGGGGGAATCAAACTTAGGTTAGAAAGAGTAGGAAGCAGAAAGTGGAAGCACAAGGAGGGAAGAAGGACGGAGGGAGGACGAAGTAAAAAGGTGGCATTCTGGACTGTAGCAGGGGTGAAGCGGAAAGATCCGCATTTTTGGAGGAAATTAAAGCATTGGGATGCAGTAATTTTGTTAGAGACGTGGTTAGACAGGAAGGGATGGGAGGCTGTAAAGAAGAAGGCGCCTGCGGAGTTTAGATGGAAAGTGCAAGTAGGAAAACGGGATAAGAAAAGGGGGAGATGGATAGGAGTTATGTTAATGGGGATAAGGGAAGAACTCTGTGAAGAAGATTGGGGGGGAATTGAGACAATTGAGCAGGGCATGGAGGGATAGATTGAGGGAAGAATGAATCTAGGAGGAGAGAGCTGGAGGATCATTGGAGTATATGTGAATGATGATGAAATGGTTAAGTTGGATCTACTGAAAGAGGTGATGGAAGAGCAAGCGGAGGAACCAGTAATGATTGGCGGCGATTTCAATATGAGGACGGGTTACGAGGGGGGGAATAGGAGAAGAGATGGGAAAGGGAGCGGGAGGAACAAGGAACTCGATGGATGGGAGAAAAGCATGCAGAGGAGGGAAAGCACTGATCAGTATTCTGGAAGAGACAGGGTGGTCGATCTTGAACGGCAACTCTGAGGGGGACAAAATAGAAGAGTTTACTTTTGAGAGTGTAGGGGTTAGGTCGATTATAGTTTATGTAATGTGTGGGTAAAGGGGGGAAAAAAGTGTAGATAGGTTTGAAATTGGGGACAAGTGTGATTCGGATCATTTCCCACTTGTAGTAAAAATGAAGGGAGGAGAGGAGGAGAGTATTAGGGGGGAGAGGAGAAAGAGGGGTAAGAAGATGATAAAGATAAAGAATTGGGAAAGAGAGATGAGAGAAGAACTCACAAGGAGGTTGGAGGAGGTGACTGGAGCTTGGTGGGTGGAGGTGAGCGTGGATGATATGTTGGCACTGATCAGAGCGAAGTTTAAAAGTATTAAGGAGGAAATAGAAGGGGAATCGCGAAGAAAGAGAAAAGGTTGGGGGGATTGAGGGATGATGAATGTAGGGAGATGAAGAAGGAGGTAAGAAAAGCACTGAGGAGGGTGAGAAAAGGTATGGGTGATAGGGATAAGTATAGGGAAATGAAGCGCGTATATGCAAGGCTATGTGAAGAAAATACGGCCGAAGAGCTGAGAAATTTTGAAAGAGAGGTGGAAAAGGCGATTGAGGAAGGGAGAGTGTGGGAAGTGATAAATAGAGAGAGAAGAGTGTGGAAGGGAATTAACGACGACCTAGAGCAAAAGGGATGGAAGGATCATTTTATGAGGTTACTGGGAGGAGTAGAGGGGAAAGTGAGCGGACAGGGGAGGAGGATGACAGTGGGGTACGAGGAAACGGCACTAGCTAGGGAGGAAGTAGAAGAGGCGATAAAGAAATTGAAGAGTGGTAAGGCCGCGGGAGGAGATGAAACTGAGAATGAGATATGGAAAGAAGGAGGAGAGGGAATCAGGCGGGTGGCGTGGAGGGTATATGATAGGGTATGGAGGGGGGAGAAATGGCCGGAAGAATCGAAAGAAGGGTTGCTAGGGCCAATAGTAAAAAAATGAGAAGGAAGAAGTGCAGAGGAGTACAGACTGGTCACGCTAATGCATACCTTATATAAGGTGTATGCAGTAGTTCTGACAAGGAGATTGGAGAAGGAAGTCGAGGGGAAACAAATGGTGCCGGACAATCAGACAGGGTTCATACAAGGTATGGGAACGATCGACAACATCTATGTACTGAATTATTTAATAAATAAACAACTGGCAATGGAAGGGGGTAAGATGATGGCTTTTTTCGTGGATCTGAGGTCAGCCTTTGATTCAGTGAATAGAAGGGTTTTGTGGGAGACGATGGAGAAGAGGAGGGTGTCAAAGGGTCTGATAGAGAAAGTCAAGGAGATATACGAGGAAACGGCGAGTTAGGTCAGGGTAGGGGAGGTATCAGAAAAATTTTGGACGGCAAGATGAGTAAGAGAGGGTTGTTCGCTTAGCCCGATTCTATTCAATATTTTACTGGCAGATTTGGAGGAATTCATGAAGGAGAAATGGAAAGGAGGAATGGGACTGGGTAGGACAAAGGTATTTTCACTGACATATGCGGGAGACATGGTAATACTCGCAGAGGAGGGAGTGGGAATGAGGATAATGATGGGACAGTTCGAAGAGTATATCAGGCGGAAAGATCTAATGATAAACGTGGACAAGTCGAAAATGATGGTGTTTAGGAAGAGAGCGAAGGGACAGAAGGAAAAGGACACATGGAAGCTGGGGGGCAAGGAGGTGGAAAAAGTGAAGGAATTTTGCTACTTGGGATATTGGTTTAGAAGTACAGGGGGACAGGTAAGGCAAGTAAAGGAAAGAATGGCAAAAGCAGGAAAGGTGAAGAGCCCGGTATGGGGCATAGGGAGAAGGAGGTTTAGGAAGGACTGGAAAAGGAGGATTTGGCCATAGTGTGGTCGGTAATGGGGTATGGATTGGAGATATGGGGATGGGAAGAATGGGAGGGAGTGGAGAGGATGCCGGAAAGATACCTAAAATGGGTATTTGGATTGAGGAGATCCACGCCTGGATATCTAAGTAGGAAGGAGTTGAAAAGGAATAAACTTTGGACCAGGACAGCGAAAAGAGCATGCAAGTTTGAGGAAAAGTTGAGAAGGGGAGAAGGCAGTGAACTGGCGAGGCAGTGTTTGAAGGAAATAGAGGATAGGGAGAGAAAGAGACAGGGTTCGAGATGGGAGGAGGAGAGAAGAAGGTTTAGAGAGGAAAGAGGAATGATTGAAAAAGGGGGAACAGAGCGGGTGGGAGGGAGGAGAGGGAAAGTTTTGAACATGTGGTGGAAAAAGAGAGGGAGAGGCAAGTAAGGAAGAGATGGGAAAAGATAATAGGATGGAAAGCGAATCGTTGGTATAGGTGGGTAGCCACAGAGGGCATCCCAAGATACTTACAGAACAGTTGGGCGGAGGAAAGGTTGAATAGGGTAGCAAGATTTCGGATGGGTGATGGTTTAAGAGGGGAAAATAAATGGGAGGACGAGCGGAGTAGGGACAGAAGATGTGGCGGTCAGAGGGAAACATGGAGACATGTGCTGGAGGAATGCGGGGAAGAGGTCAGTGATGGGAGGGACATCTGGGAAAAGGTATCAGAAATACTGGATGAACAGGGGACAGGAGAAGGGTGGATGGTGGAATGGGAGAAATTTGGGAGGGAAGGCAAGGAGGAAATGGAAGATGGGGTAATGAGGGAGGGTTGAAAGGGTGAGTGACAGGTTCGTTCGATCGTGGGGAAAGGAGGGACGTAGAAGCAGCATGTTTGATTGAAACTCATGGAGACCGGAAGCAGAGGTCCCTCTCGATCGCTCACTCTCACGCATAATTTAGGAAATGTAAATATGTAAATAATAAAATTAGGATATTTAAGTTAATGTAGGATAGGATAGAATAAGAATAGTATAGGAATAAGGCGTAGAAATAAGAATTGGAAGCGGAAGCCCTTGTATCCCTAAGGAAAATGAATAAAGATATATACATACATATACATAAATATTCAATTCCATTGAGAAGGTTGAAAAAAATAAAAAATAACATAACATGTCCGAGATTTGAACTCGGAAACTCTCCCCCTGTACGCCAGCTCACTAGCGCTGAGCTACTATAGCTTGTTAGGGTTAAAATGTTGTAACTATACTAATCAATGCAAATTCTACTTTACCTATCACCGGATATTGAAATTTCAAGTTCGTGTAATATTCAACAACGACAAAATTATACGAAATACTTGTATATTTTTTCATTGAAGAATCAGTTAATTTCTTGAATATTCAAGTCATTCTCAATTTTCACGTCTAGATAATGCTGGAAAATGTTGAAAATTGGTGAAATTTAGACAGCACCTTCCTTGAATTTTCAATTTTATGTAGTGTTCAAATTTCAGGATGAGTTTTTTTTAATCTTATGGGATGTTTTTCTCGGATTTTCATGGAGTATCGAGGTAATGGTGGTGTTAAAGGAAGGATAGTTAGGTATTCTAAGATATAAGCAATTATGATTAAGATTTTCTTTAATGGGTGGTAGTAAAAAATCCAAAAACATCATAAGAATGTGAAAAACATAAAAAATACGTGGACATATATAAAGTTTACTTTTTAATAGTTTTGTGAGGTAGTTATTCTCCTTCTTCTTCTTTTCCTGTTCCTTATCACCATTCTTTGGCTGGCTAGCAGAGAGGGAGGTGTTACAAACTAAAAAATAAAAATCATAAGTAATTTTCATTGGAAACAAATGATGAGAAAATTATTGAAAAAACTTTCTTAGATTATTATTATGATTTTACATGGATTGTTACGTATTACTCATCAAAGTAGACCCACTCCCTTGTCTTTCACAGCTCCACTCTCATCTCCCCAGTACGCAAATTTTGCGTCCAAAAGATCTCTCGTAATACTGAAATCATGAGAATGGCGGAGATTTATGAATAAAAAAATTACTTTTTCATCTCACATGAATATAGTGATTTATCATACCTCTATACGAGATTTCTTCATCTGAGTCGTGCATGCTCTCCCCCTCTTCTCCCTGGACCGCCAACAGCTCTCTATCCACCTCCGAAATCAGCACATCTTGCCCCTCTTTTCCTTCCTCCATCAGTATGTGTTTCTCCCCTCCCCCCACCGGCAACATCGCCACTATTTCCAGAGGCCCATAGCTAGCTACGACTCCACCGTTGACATCCCCACTCTCAATCCCTGACGCACTCACGCAACCATCAACCTGCATCCCCTCTCCCATCATAACATCTTCCTCTCTCTCCATAGCACCCCCCTTCCTGTTTAATCCCCCCCCCCCCAAATCAGCCCCCACAGCTTCACAATGTAAATCCAGAAGGTTCTCCTCAAAATTCACTCCCTCCTCACCCAAATAAATTTTCCCCACATAAATCTCCTCCACTTTCAACTCTCCCAAAGAATCCCCACAGGAATCGCTCTCTGCAATTTGCGCACGTGGCTGCTCATCTGCATCATTGAAGTCGAAGAGAGTTTCATTAACATCATCATCAATTTTCTCCTCCTCCTTCTTAATGTGCATCCCATCCTGATCATTGGGGGAGTAGTTGATCACTGTTTCAGTCTCACTATCAGCCTCCTGTTTGATTATCGAGTTCATCTCTCCGTCACCCTCATTTCTCACTTCAATATTTACATCATTGTCATTGTCATTATCGTCAACACACGTCTCAACACTCTTCCACGCCTCGTCATCTTCACTCTCCTCCACCACGAACCAATACTCCCAAGCAGAATGGGTGATCCTCCTCGCTCTGATGTTGCATGCAGTGAAGAAGTTGGGGGTGTCAAAATCCTGCCAATGATTGGTAGTAATCTTCTTCATTGCTGTAGCAATCATCTTGGCGTTGGGATCTGTCATCCATTCAAGGGGGCACCGCACTTCTACCGGTTGGATAAATCTTCTCCTCCCCCAAAATTAGGATCATAATAGCTCCAGAAGCGCATCAGTCTGTAGTCCTCGAAACTCCCCATATTTGCGATTTAACTTTTACTTAAAACACGTAACGACTGGGGATATGAAACCTTTGGCTTGCTGTCGATCAGCGAACTGAATAGTGCATGGTCAAATCGGTGGTCTTATATATTCACTATCAAATGTTTATGTTTTTTGTGTGAAAGAGAAACGAATATGGTTCCCTATCCTCTCTATCTGACTCATGGGGGTTTAATGGGGAAAGATCATTGGCGACGGTTCTCGGTCATTAATTGGAGTGAGAGAGAAAAAAATCCGAGAATTCTACATGAGTTTTTCTCGCTTTCGTAGGATCAAATGACTATCCGATAAGCTAGAGATGAAGGAATTTCGGGAGGGGGGCCAGGGAATACTTCCTCTGTTTTGGCTCAGGGTGTCAAATCACTATGATAACGAAAACTGTTGAGGTGGCTCAGAATAATAAACAGATTTTTAAATTCCGGTATTTTTTTAAGAACTCAACTTCATTGGCAAATCGTCTTTCAGGTATTTGTTATTGGTCTTTAGTTTGACGAAAAAAAAATTTAATTGCGAATTTTCGGTGAGATTATTCGATTCATTTGGAATGACTATTCAAAAACAGAAATTTTTTCATGAGATACATCTCCCTGAATCAATAAACTATTCTGAAATTTCAAATTCGTCTCTAAAAATCATCCCCGCAAATAGTAAATAACGATGTTCATGGTGGGTTTACACCACGTGCGGATGGTGGGTTTGCGTTATGTATGCATGGTGGGTTTGAGTGGAGCACGTGTAGTACATATAGTTCCACCACCCAATGTGCACTCCCGCAGACTAATGGTGGGGGGTAGGAGTGCTGGCTAATATAGCGGGAACGAACTCGCCGGTTGCACTATATGTGTGATGGGTTTCTCTCCACATCCACTACTATCTTTCGGAACCAACTAATGAACCTATATTGATTGAAACCATGCAATAATAGCGGCATTTTTTGAGTTGATAAATATTTAACAAAAATTACTTCTAAAATATAGACATTAAATGTTGAAAGGATGGGAAATGTGGAAAAATGGAAAAGGATAATTTCCAATCCTATAACGTTTATCATATCATATTACCAGAGTTTTCATAATCAATAATATTAATTACATAAAGAACATTTTCTAATGAGAGGCGGAGGGCCATCAACAACATCGCCAGCATTTTTTGCTTCCGAATGGAAGCATTGTAATCATGCAAATTTACGTTTTTGATTTTTTGTTTTATATGGACTTATTATGTCCCCAAAAGTCCGAATATGCATTTTTTTAGACCGTGTCCGTACGTGTGTATGGTGACGAGGCATATTCATTTATTTTTCATTATTTTTCTACATATTTTTTCCCACTACACACTGCCCCCTAAAAAGTAAATCCCGCCACCGTTGGATACCCCTTCCCCGGACTTTTCCCCTCATCGCCCCTCTACTCCCGTCCCTGGACATCACGAAGACATCAGCCGAAGGAAGACATCAGTTCCGGCCCCACCCGATCAATTGGAGAAGCCATCGCCTCCTGGAAATTCCCCATACTGGACCCCCGAATATTCAACACCTGCAATAATCCCTTGCGAGACATCCCTGGATTGCGGTCATCGTCGCCACTCACCCGTGNTGTGGTCATCGTCACCACTCACCCGTGCTGATTGGCCCCGATTGCTCCCGAATTAAAACCCGAAGGACTTCGACACCTGACGAACCCCCACGAATCGCGGAGGAAAAGGAAAGACCGTCACTCGTGTAACCGCTGTCCTGGACACTACTACGTGCGCCCCAAGTCAAGTGAATACAAAGTGAACATACCTCGAAGTCGGTACATTGGGTTTTGTTCGAGTAAAGAGGATTTTTGGCGCCCGAGCTCATCCCGGCTCTAAGTACTGTGCCCCTGGAGTCTGGAAGGAGGAACGAAGGCTCAATCGCTGGAGTCGCTGAAGGGCCCGGATTAGACCTGAACTGGGAGTCGTGAGTACGAGTTGTCCCCCTCATTTCCCCCTCGACTCAAGAAGTATTCCTTTTCATACCCCCCAACGGTGAGCCTACACTCTTGTGTTTCTTCCCCATTCAGTCATGATTTTTATATTTAGTTGCATTCCCTCGACACGACTAGCTTCTCCCCTTTTTCTGCATTAGAGTCACTCCCTTTGCACGTGTACAAAAGTTGCCTGGCCTCCGCCACTCCCTAGATCTCAGTAAAGGCCTTATTTACGTCTTTTGACGATCAGAATTGTATTTAGAAAAGAATATAGGTTATTATTCTCAAATTATCCCTTATTTGTCCCTTTTCTTGACTCGCCCTAATCCTTTTTTCAGGAATTAGTATTATAGAATCTAGAAACCGGTCACAGTATGTATGTGCGTGTGTATGTAACAAACGTTTTTTTCGATTGTGCACTAGGGAAGCGATGGAATCGAATAATTTTTTTCCCTCAAATGTAGGTATTGGTGAGCCCTATCCACCACCATAAATTGAAATTTAATTCATTCATTCATTTAAAAAAAAATTTTTTTTTTTGAAAATCGGTTTTTTACGATAACTAAAAAAAAAAGTTTCAAATTCATTAAAACACGGCTCAAAAAAATCGTTGGGGTCTCTTCTTGACCGGGTTCGGAGATGGAGGTGATAGCAATCATCGTCAGTTTAATTTTTCGAAAAATCAGAAGAAAGAAAAAAAAATTTTAATCAGAGTACTGTAGATATCTCTGGATTTTCGCCCTCAAATGGATTCAATCATAGCTTAAAATGTTTGTTTCAACGTTACTAAGTCAGAGTTGAAAGATAATCACGATAACTGTTTCGATAAATCTTATGTTTGGGATAATTTTTGGAAATTCGGAAAATTTTCATAAATTTTTTGGAAATTTCGGTTTTTGATGATTTTTTACTTTTGGACATCTTGAAAGATTGAATGAAGCAACCACCAAAATTACAAACCGTCAATATACTGACTAACTTCATATATAACGTGCATTTTGTTTTTTTAAGAAACAATGAAAAGCATTGCACTTTTATGGAACAACTTTTATTAATAATCTAAGGGGCATAAAATGATAAAAAACCGAGATAATTTTTTTCGTATAAGCACTTGAAATTGAACGTATCAATTAACATTCATGAAACAGAAAAAATCGAGGTAGCTGAGTCAACATGGAATATCCCATAACTGAATAACTCCTTCACTATAATCATCATGAAAATTCGATTATTGTAACCACCAACAAACATGGGGGTGCGATTAAAATGTCCGAGTTGGCATGCGAGAATTTTTGGATTCGATAGCCGGTCAAAAAAGAGCAAAATTCATGACACTCCAATCTCGCAGAAATTATCTCATAAAAATGACTCAAGGGAGGTTTTTTAAAAGTGAAATTTACCTTCGCCCCTCAGAAAATGCAATACGAAGGGATAAAATGAGAAATGAGAATAAGTCGTGAAAACGTATACAAAAAAATGATTGATTATTACAACCGATTTGGTAATATGATTGATCGTAAACAATAAGAGAAATAAGAAAAATTCCATAGAAAACAATAACATGGAATACGAAACTGTAGAAGTGAACAATCATGATTATAGAAAAATAAAAACAAAATTAGTATGCAAAATGACCGTTCGGAAGCATATTGCTAATGTATTAGCAAAAAAACCATACTATATATGCTGCAGGGGCAATTTTCCACTTGTTTTAATGTAGGATAATGCAGATAACACGGTCGACAGTCTTGGATCTCACTTATCCCATTCAGTTTATTTGGTAGCGCCTCCTAAAGTTCATCCACATTTGACCATCCAAATTCTAACAGAAAATTTTTCAGGAAATGGACATTGTCGGATTGTTTCAAGTGCATATTCCATATCCTTTTACATAAATTGATAGATGGATGCAACTCAAAATAAACTACTTCTTGTACCAATCCATCAACTTCCGACTATTCTCGAGTGCGCATGTATAATTTTCTTTTATAATGCTGTGCTCGCGATGATTCCAGCAAATAGGGGCTTTTAAATTCTTTGATCTTGATGCGCCCAACCCATTCAAGTCAATGATCAATGTATCAGCGTAAGACGCCAACCACCGTTTCTTCTCTGGACCGTTCACGAAAATAATCTCAGCATCGGTTGTGAGATGCGTAATATCATCCTCCAGATCACGATATGAGAAGTCATCCGATTCCCACGGAATTCCATGATGATTTCGTGAGAGGTACTTATTTGTTCTTCTGTATTTAACTGGCAACTCAGCCCATTCGAAGGGGGG